CAACCGCGGAGCCTCTATTCTCTTTCCTTTTCTCTTCCTCCTTCCTTCTTTTCTTCCTTCGATAGCTTTTCCCTCCTTCTTTACCTTCTCCCTTCAACTACTGGGCTAGTAGCCAACGGCTATCAGTCTGTCTGTGTGTAGTAAGTGTGTCTGTGGGTCTGTCCGAAAATTCCGCATTACCTGAAGAGCCGGTTTGAGGGGCCGGGTCAAGGGTGGGATAGGTAGGGCGTGAACCAATACGAAACACACATGAACTATGTAATGCCCCGCCCACTGTGAGCGGGCCTGCGCACAGTTGTGAACTACTTATTTTAAAAATTCATAATTCGGTTCCAGAAGAGCCGAGGAGCGGAAAATGTGACCAACGATATGCAATCTGTTGGCGGAGAATGAGGTGAGAGAAGCACACCCACTATGGGTGGGGCGTGCTGTAGGCGACTGGTGCTTGCCACGGAACGTTCAAAAATTCGTAGTTCGGTTCCAAAAGAACTCCGAGAGGGGAAAATGTGGCAAACGACAGGCAATCTGTTGGCGGACGAAATGAGGGAGGCACACCCACTATGGGCGGGGCTTGCTGTAGGTGGGCGGTGCTTGCTACGAAACCTTCGAAAATCCGTACCCGGAGAGCCGAAAAAGTGGGAAACGATAGGGAATGAATGGATGGACGGTTGATAGGGGCACTTCTGCTGTGGGCGTGGCTTGAATCGAATTTCGTGGTTCACTCCCAAATGAGCCAAGAGGTAACGGTAGGAAATGGGTAGGTGACTGAATGCGGACGTAACTGCAGTGGACGAGGCTTTAGTCAAAGTACTATATACCTTTCAACGAATTGGCGATTTATCTTTTCTTCTACATACGCTTGGTTTGGAAATGGATCTTTTCAAAAAAAATTTCGGGCAATAGAGCCAGCGAAGCCGGCCGATCAGACTGGTCCTCTGTTTTTTGGAAATGTGTGGGGGAAGACCCACTTTACCCACAGAAGGAGGATCGACGCTCTATATGATGCAGTCTTGTCACTTGCTCGCTTCAACAACTGGTGAGGAATCGGTTTGGCACAAACTCATCGTGCCTGACACGCCCCTTCAGCCGCAACGAACTAGACTCCACACACCACTCCTCTGATCCAAGCGTTGGCGTGAGGACGTATGTCTTTTCTGCGGGATTATCTCTACGTGACTATTTTCGTCTGCGCTCTAAGCCTTTTTGGGCATTACCACTCTATTTTATTAGGCAGAAGTTTTGTGTGTCGGTACTGGTCGCGTCTGTTATGGTATTGTATGTATGTATGTATGTATGTATGTATGTATGATGTTTGTCCGTCAGGGCACATCATTGCGTTGGCGGATTTTAGTCGAGTCTGTACGACCCCCCCCCCTCCTCCGGCCCTCTGTTTCCCTCCCTTCATCGATCGAGCCGTCGAGCGGGACGGGTGGGGGGGGGGAAGGCATATAGTACGCATGGAAACAGGAAAATCACCAAAAGTCAACCACTACTCCTACAACAACAAAACGTAAATACGACCCCCTTCCCTCCCACAAACGAAAGTACGACCCCCCCCCCTTCACAACCTCAATGAAGCGAGAAAAATCAACTATCAGAATAAATTTTTCCCAGCCCAAATACGACCCCCCTCTCCTGGCGGCCAAATACGACCCCCCCCCGCCTATTGGGATTCCCCAACAGCGATGTGCACTGTGGTCCATCCACAAAATGCTTCAGAGGATTCAACTTGTAACTGAAAGGAGAAGACGACCGCTAGCGAATCTAGGAACCATTCGGTGCAGATGTATCAATCATTGCTTCCCTAGTTCCGGTTTAGAAATCTCACCCTGGTAAAACTTGTGGACCCTTGTGAAGCTGGTGCAAGATCGTCTAGCCACCATCATAAGACGTGTCAACTCGAGAATTGGCTACCTAGACGGGTCGGCACATCTGTGGAAAGCAGAATGCCCCCTCGTCGACAAACTGCGCCTCAATCCAATGTTTGATTGCGATAACCCCACTATAAAAGACAACCACTTAGTGCACTCCGGACAATTGCACGGGCTGCTCGCGTGGCAGCTGGACGTGGGTACACTGGGACAGGGTAGGGAAGGGCAGGGGTTCGGGGACATGGGGAAGAAGGTAAGGCGAGGGGCGCAAGGAAGGGGTGGGACGAGGGAAGTGATGGCAGTGCTCTGTTCGCTTGAAAGCTGGACGTGATTGCACTGGGACCTGGTAGGGAAGGGCAGGGGCGAGGGGATGAGGAAGGGGTGGGGTGCGGAAAGTGAGGTTAGTGGGGAGGTTCGATGGGAAGGGGGTAGAGTGTGCAACAGGAGCACACCACAAACAGAAGTATTAGTGAAAGCGACAAATAGAAGAAAGGAAGGATCAACCGCTAACAGTGCTGCGAATCAATTCATGGAGTGTGATAACATACACTATATAAGACAACATTTGGTGTATTCGAAACCACCGCACGAGCTGCTTGCGTGGTAGCCTGACGTGGGATGGGTAATGTTTGTAGGGGTACGACAACGAACTGTAGAGTGCGCTTCAACAAGCGCATACTGCTACTCCGTAAAAGCAGTAAGTTGATGAAAGGGGGGGGGGACCCACCGCCAGCAGAGTTTCGAAGCTTTTCATGTCGTGTCATCGATTTGAGGTGATGTTTTGAATGCGAGATCACCATTTTACTTTCAAACTTTTGACTGCTGATGAAAGCAAATAATGAGTATGAGAAATGTGCCACTGACACGTAGCCCAAATGTGAGCATCTGCAAGCTTTTTATGCATCTTTTTTAGCATCTTTTTATGTGATGTAGTCGAATGGATTGCATCATATTAGAAATGGTAAGCGCTGATCGGTATGCGTTTCAATACAGGTAATGGGAGCGAGATTTGACCATTCTGAGCGATTCATATTGCGCTGTATTGAACGAATGTGCATTCTATCTATATCTACGGATCTATGTATATGTAGTATGGGTGTTATTGCCCAAACCACCACCCCTTCTGCGACTATAAGCGTCGACTTAGGAGTGCAGAGTCCCCCGTTGCTTTATCTGTTACGATTCGTTCAAGACAGCGCAATATGAGCTGCTCGGCGAATGAACAAATCCCGTTTACACTATTCAGTGCGCCTGGGAAAACAGGCCAGCTAAAGAGAAGGAGGAGAGCTCGGCGTAAGCCGGGCGATCTGACTGGTTAATACGGGTTGGTTAAAAAATTTGTTCCAAAAGTAAACTGTTTTGCAAGCAAGCTTAATATCGTTTAATAGCTAACTTCTCATAGTATTAGAATATCAAAACAGCTTCGGTTGAGGGAAGGGTTTTTATGGTTTTTTCAGTCGTTGAAGTTGAAAGTGAAGTCGGCGAAAATTAGCACCTTCGACAGCTGCCTCTATCAACGTTTACTTGAAGTGCTAAAATTGCTTAAAGGCAGCGTCCGCGATCAACCAAAGTGAAAAACCCTCCATTGAAAACGGACGCGGAGTCCGCAATGACAGCAGAAATCCCACTCTTGCGGCTCGAAATCGATTGGTTGACGAGGGCGGAGTCAATGGAGCAGGACTGACGCCTCCTTTCCTGTTAATCCCTCCCCGATTGGTTAACAGTTGTCAATGCTTGCTGGCATTGATATAC